TGCACACTTTCTGTAAATCATATGAACTTCATTTCACGTCTCAAATATCACTGTGTTTGTCCCCTATACAGTATGATATATTTAACTGATTTTTTTAGTCCAAACAATCAATGATTTATAAAGGTAAATCAGAAAAATTAACAAGACTGCCCAAACTTTCCCACCCCACTGTATGTTTATGATTAGGCTCTGTCACACAATACTGTAACTTTTTTGACAACCTATGCCAAGTTATGGACATTTTAAAAGACATCTACAATGAAGATGGAATTWAAAAAAAATCAACCAGAAGCCTTATTTAGGCATGGACATACTGTTATGCCAACTATAACTTTTAATAKTAATTTAGACATAAAAAAGTTTCATAAGTTGGCATAAAATGTCTAAAAAATTATAGTGACAGAGTCTTAACCCTCTATGCCACCAGCCCCAGAGACACAACGCTTTGTCAGTTTCTCTGTGTCTGTTGAAAGAGGCCTTCTGACAAGACCTCTGACCCTCCAAACATTACTTCTGACCATTCCACCTGACCATGAACTTTATCCCTCCTCTCATGACCTCTAACACTACTGAATGACCTCTGACCCTCAGGTCATCTTTTACAACTGAACTGGTTTTATTTAAAGTTACTTTTGACCTGAATTATTGTTGCTATTGATATTTTCAAGGTCTGATCAAAAAGGCTACAACTGCATCACTTCCTTTCATAGGATGGTTTTAATATGCATTCTTTCAAAAGAATACCAGTCGTTTCATTTCATCTTGTTTTTCACAGGTACTGTTTCTGTGAAATACATCTGACTGTGACTCATTTGTGCAGATGTTCAAACTCTTCTGAAGTTACAAAACAAAGTTCGGGTAAAAGCTGGAATCTGTCAGAGGGTCACACGCTGTACACAGAGCTACCACCACAGATAAGAAGTGCTGGAACTACGGCAGCTGCTCCTCAGTGGCCTTGAAGCTGTTCGAAGTGTTTGATATCTAGAACTGAACTAGATCAATCATTTGCCAAGCTCAGTAACAGGGATGGAGCCAGAGAGGTGGCACACGTCACCCCTGAAACCTGACTGGCCACCCCAGTTGATTGATAAGCTACTGCATGTGACTTTAAAAGATGCATAGTTAGAGTTAGGATATATTTGTGTAAAGACACAAACAACATGTACAATTCATGCTAAAACATCTGAAAACACCTGAATGTCAGAATTTACTGATAGAATTTACAATTCGTACGTCCTGTTATTAAAGTAAAGAGGCAGATCCATCCACGGATGATAACTAGAATAGCTGCATTTCCATTGCAAATGTACGCAAAACTTTGTCGATATTCTGTTAATGTTGAAAAACAGTTTCGCAACTGTGGTGTTTCCATTAAGTAAGAAATGCTATTAAAGTCACGCGTGAATACGTTTGTTCTCGTGAAGTCATTACAAACACGGCGGCAATGGATGTGCAATGGACCACGGCAATGGACCACGACAGTAGCCATCAGAGGACACGTCTGCATCTTGTCGAGGCTTTCCGAGTGACAAGCCCCTTATAACTTGGGACCTATGCAGTGTTTTTGGGAAATTGTAGTCGGTGAGTTTACTGCTTTCTTTTACAACTTCGGTGATTTCACTACTTCAACTTCCTGTTMTCTTCTTCATCYTTGTCTTTTTAGCCAGTAYAAACAGCCGGTTATTGATCARGTGACTCCCGTGATGCGAAAAAAGTGTTTCCATTGCAGTTTGGCGAAAAACACCAATTTCGATACAGCCGAAAAACCACCTCATCCTAGCGCAAYAARCTTTTGTCAAAAAAAGGACYTTTTTTCGACATTGACGTGTTTCCATTGAGCAAATTTGTTTRCGAAATTCTAATTTGCGCWTTTTCATGGCCAATGGAAATYCAGCTAATTATAACATCAGTGTGTAACAAAGATAAAGACTGGGATAACTAAAGAAATATGGGTTATGAAACTATTAAAGGTACGTTCCTTAGGTACCAGGTTTGAGAAACAGAATAAGTTTCTTTATTTGGATGTCCGCCTTGAAAATCTTTGGTCATCTGTTGCATAAATATGTAGCTTCACCACTGCTGTAATCTTTACATCACAGAATTTTACATTAAAAAGCCAAAAACCAGCTGACAAGTGCTTCATATTTTTGGTCAGATCACTAGGTGATAGTAAGCATGTGGAAACCTGTCAGCAGRCACGGTTTCTAAAATCTGTGTTGATCCGGATCATTGAACTTAAAACAAAGCGTTTAAAATCTTCATTTGGAAAATACTGTTTTAAAAGTATCAGTTTTTCTCACCAAAAGGTCTGAGTATGGACAGGGTGAGCAAACAGCAGATGTTTTTTTCTGGTAATCAGCGTCATGTAGATAGTGTCCAAATGATCATTTATGAAAAAAATATTTCCTTAATTACTTAGATCGTTTTGTTTTCTTCCTCTTTCCTATTTTCTGAGATCAAAACACTCAGAGCACATCAGTGTTCAGTCTGCCGTGACTAGGAACTGAACTTAAATTGATTACATTTAAAATATTGTTCTTAATCAACGTGATATCTGSATCTATACAATGTGTGTATTGAAGAGATGATTCACCCCAACATGTAAACATGTAATAATTAGTCAGAATAAAAAAAACTGTTATCTATTACCCATAAACTATTTTAGGTTTTGTAAAATTACAATTCCACTGGAAAACAAAAAACAAAGCAAWACAGAAACAGCTTCTCTTACCTTGTTGTAGTTTCCAGATTTAATGCCAAGTGGGACCTTACTCTGTAAAACAAATTTTTGGTTTTATTTTATTTGTTTTCCACACCAGCCTAAATCAGGTTTAGTGGATTCACCTGTAACTGTGTTTGTATTAAGTTAGAAATACACCACAAGTGTTGGTACCCCTCTGTTATTGACTGAAAACCCCARAATGGTACAGAGATAACGTGAAACTGACAAAAGTAATAATAATAATAATAAATATAAATTTACCAAAATTTAAACATTGCTTTTGAACAGTGTTTAACACAACTAAATTACTGTATATTAAAAAACCAGTGAAACAGGCCTGGACAAAAATGATGGTACCTGTAACTTAATATTTCATTGCACAACCTTTTCAGGGAATCAAAGTCTTTCTTTCCCTGTCCACAGCTGTTTCTGTCCACCTGCCCAGCTCCTTCAACAGGATGTACATCAGGGCTCAGAAAAACACTTCAGACCAGTCCGGTGTTTGGTTTTGATCCAGTCTTAGCGTTTTAGCTTTGTGTTTCGTTTTATCCAGATGGAAGACACATAACCTGCTACGATGACCAAACTTTCTAACCAGGCACCATATTTATCTCTGTAGAGTGCCTTGATAGTCTTGAGAATACACCGTGTCCTGCACAGATTCAAGACACCCTGTGCAAGATGCAGCAAAGCAGCTCCAGAACAGAACCAAGCCTGCTCCATGTTTCACTGTGTCATGATCTGTGTTCATTTTCCTTAGTTTTCTAGTGTTTCAGTGTTCCCTTGTGTATCTCTGCCCTGCTCCAGCCCAGCACTTCCTCACCTGTTTCCTCTTGTGTCTCATCCAAGTGTTTCTTGTTGTCCTTAATTAGTTTGCCTTTATATTCTGTGTCCTGTCTCCAGTGTTTGTCCGTTCATTGTGTTGCATTCCCTCAGCCTGTGTGTCTTCCGTGCTTCCTCGTGATCTTGTTCCTCCAGAGAAGTGTTTTTGTGAGTTTTGCTGCCACAACAGCCCTCCTTTGTTCCTCTAATAAAACTTTTTGTTACATTTTGGCTTTTGCCTGCACCCTGGGTCATTCTGCCTGCACACAACCTTACACACTGTAGGTCCAGGGTTCTGTTTCTGGTTTCATGTTCTGGTATGTGAACAAAAAGTTGATGTCACTTGTTGCCAAAAATTTTGTCTCATCTGTCCAGAGGAAATTCTCCCAGAAGATTTGTGGCAAATTCCAGTCTCACTTTTTTATGTTTTGGTGTCCTCCTCGGCTCTTTCTTTAACTCCACTTTGACTCAAACAGTGACCCATAGTTCAGTCTGACACTGACCTTGGAGTTCCATCTCTTTGGAAGTTGTTCTGAGTTCTTTGGTTACCATTACTATTCTCCTTCCCTTCAGTTTGTCATCAGTTTACTGCAACCATGTTCCAGCGAGGTTGTCTCCTGTGCTATGGGCCTTAAACCCCTGAATAATCTGTGCAGCTGTAATCAAAGGAGCAACCAGCTGCTTGGAGATGGTCTTATAGCCTTTACCTTTAAATCTTCTGGGACAACTTGGCTTCCTGTGCTCAGTGTGTGCTACAAACCATGTCACCAAACAGCACACTGACTACATTTAATCCTTTAAAGCAGGGGTTTTCAAAGTCTCTGAGAGGGTAAATCCCCTCTCAGAGAGCAAACAAACCATAAGCCCCACYAAAAAATATTCTAACCATTTACATAATATCAATTAATATTGACAAGAGCAGTGTGGTTTTGGTCCTTGTTGTGGAACAGCGGACCAGCTCTACACCCTTAGCAAGGTCTTGGAGGGTGCATGGGAGTTCGCCCAACCAGTCTACATGTGTTTTGTGGGCTTGGAGAAGACGTTCGACCGTGTCCCAAGGGGACTCCTGTGGGGGGTATTCTGGGAGTATGGGGTACCAGGCCCGTTGATACAGACTGTCCCTGTACAACTGGTGCCAGAGCTTGGTCCGCATTGCCGGTAGTAAGTCGGACTCATTTCCGGTGAGAGTTGGACTCCGCCAAGGCTGCCCTTTGTCATTGATTCTGTTCATAACTTTTATGGACAGAATTTCTAGGTGCAGCCAAGGTGTTGAGGGGATCCTTTTCGGTGACCTTAGGATCACATCTCTGCTTTTTGCAGATGATGTGGTCCTATTGGCTTCATCAGATCGTGATCTACAGCTCTCACTGGAGTGGTTTGCAGGCGAGTGTGAAGCGGTTGGGATGAGGATCAGTGCCTCCAAATCTGAGACCATGGTATTGAGCCGAAAACCGGTAGCGTGCCACCTCCGGGTCAGGAAGGAGGTCCTGCCCCAAGTGGAGGAGTTCAAGTATCTGGGGYTCTTGTTCACAAATGAGGGAAGAATGGAGCGGGAGATCCGGATTGGGGCTGCGTCTGCAATGATGCGGGCGCTGTACCGGTCTGTCGTGGTGAAGCGGGAGCTGAGCCAGAAGGCAAAGCTCTCGGTTTACCGGTCGGTCTACGTTCCTACCCTCATCTHTGGTCACGYYCTTTAGGTAGTGACCGAAAGAACGAGATTGCGGATACAAGTGGCCGAAATSAGTTTCCTCTGCAGGGTGTCTGGGCTCTCCCTTAGKAACAGGGTGAGAAGCTCAGTCATCCAGGAGGGACTCAGAGTAGAGTCGCTGCTCCTCCACGTTGAGAGGAGCCACTTGAGGTGGTTCATCTGGTTAGGATGCCTCCTAGATGCCTACCCGGTGAGGTGTTCCAGGCACGTCCCACTGGGAGGAGGCCCAGAGGAAGACCCAGGACACGCTGGAGGGACTGTGTTTCTCAGCTGGCCTGGGAACACCTTGGGATTCCCCCAGAGGAGCTGGTCCAAGTGTCTGGAGAGAGGGAAGTCTGGGTCTCTCTGCTTAGYCTGCTGCCCCCGAGACCTGATCCCGGATAAGAGGAAGAAAATGGACGGACGGACGGACAATAAATATTGATATTATTTCTGTTACAGTTTTTGTTGTTGCTATAACGTTCTTTTCATACTTTAAAAAAATTGTTCACATTATTAAAAGCGTTTTAAACACCTGTGTTTTTTTAATAAATTTAGCATGTTTTCTTTTTAAATCACCTTAACAGTCCTTTTAGGTAATGTTCACACTGCGAGTAAATGTGGCCCAAAACCGATTGTTTTTAGCTTCTATACAATGTATCAGATGTTTTACAAAGCAGATCCGAAGTTCCYAACACTCATACCTCATTTAATCTGACGCTTACATAACGTCACTGAGGAAGTCYTGAGCTGATCGATCCATGTATTTATAAAAAGGTACAAACCTCACCTCATGCAGTTTCAATCACAAAACTCTGCAGGGCTTCAGCTACAGATCAAAAGTCCAGTTGCTTCATCTTCGTTAGTTTGTTTTCTCAAAATAACTCTGTTGAACCACATTTCAAAAGCAATGGGAGATTTTCATTGGTTAATTTTTAGTAAATATTTATTTATTTAGTATTACTTTTGTCAGTTTCAAGTTATCTTAGTGATCAGTGTGGGTTTTTCTGTCATTAACACAGGGGTGGCAACAATTTTTAATGTGTGTGTTGAGCTTATGTTTATTCAAGTAAAGATGAATATTGTGAAACGTTGTGAAAGCTGTAATAAAATCTATGACTTGTTCAGTAAAAAGGGACAGATGTTGGATTGTATGGAACAGGTCTGAGTTTGTTTGACCTCTAACCTCAGGGCAGGGCTCCACATGACAGTCTTTGATGGAGCAGTGTCCATCATCAGGCCAGAAAGGACACGGTCGCTTCAGGTTCACCTGAAGGAAACAGAGTCACTGTGGTTTAAAGATTTAAACAAAGTCCAAACCTTTGATGGAGTCATCCTGACCCGTGGAAACACCACACAATCTGCAGTTTTTACAGTTGACAAGTTTGGAGTATACAGTCACACAATGAATTAAATTTACCTACTACACCTGATGAGGGACCAAATCCAGTAAAACCAACTGAKTCTAATTCTTATGAGGGAGACACATGGACAACAATCAGGTTGTTGTTCCTGTCATTTGCACAAACATCTGCTTCTCTAAGTTACTTCCTGTTTCCCACTCTCTCTTTATTATTGGCTGATTGGCAACATGTGGTTACAACTAGGCCAGTATTCACTCCTGATCTACAAGCAACAATCTGAATTTATCTTAGGGTGTGTTCACACCAGGAAAGTTGTTTGGTCTGGACCAAAAGTGGACTTTATTTTTTTTGTTTGGTGTGGTTTGCATTCACACTGCTTTTTTTGCAAATGAACTATAACTTGTAAAAAAAAGCCAAGAGGTGACGATCATTGCTCCCATTGACATTCTTTATGAGACATTCTTTATCCAKAGGTCATGTAAATTAATTCATCATTAATTAGAGGCTTGAAGACAAACTGTTAATCTGATATAAACTTTTTAAAACAGGTGAATTACTGACATTTAAAGACAGAAGTATGTCCACAGAGTCCTTGTGTGTGCAGCAACACTTACCCTGTAGTACCTGAAGTAGTCTCTCTCAGTCAGCTTCTTGATGCGAGGGTAAATCTTGAAGTTGTTGAAGACGTCGATGCTTTCCACATCACAGAAGCAGTCATCCAGGACTCCTGTCAGCTGAGCACAGCAGAAACAACTCAAATATTAAACGGGAAAGGATTTTGGTTCTACAAAAAACAAAATTACTTTTACGTTTTGACCAACATTATATACAGGTGCTGGTCATAAAATTAGAATATCATGAAAAAGTAGATTTATTTCAGTAATTCCATTTAAAAAGTGAAACTTGTATATTATATTCATACATTACATACAAACTCATATAAGTTTATAGACATTGCTTTCAGGCCTTTGGAAGTTTTATCAGCCC